GTCCCTTCTGACCCTAGAAACTATGAAACTATGAAACAGAAGCTTCTTGTTATTTGTATGAATTTAAGCATCTACTGCCTTCAAAATATGGTTCTTCTCAAAAAAATAAATATAGAAGTAGTGGTATGGGATTCCATGTTCGTTCCACATGGGATTCCATGTTCACTGTCACTGCTTCTGAATAAAAATCTACTCAGTTTAAAAATAAAATTGCAAAGCTGTCCCGGGCTCTGATTGTGGGGAAAAAAAAGATAAGTTCTTTCATTTCCACTGGGAACAAAGATTTTATAGACTAAATGATCCCATCACACCTGTGAAGCCCTGCCAGATGTGGTAAGGTGCCAGTGGTATTCCTTGCTCGCTTAGTAACTGGAACTCATAAACAATGTTGGGGTTTTTTATTTTTAAGGTGGGACAAAATCTAACTTTTTTCCCTCTTTTGCCAGCTCTATTATAACTGAGCTAAATTATTCATTCTATTAATTGCTTTACTATTTAATCATGGAAATCAACAAAAGTGATGGACAAAATTACTTGAGTAAGAAGACTATATTTTTATCTTGCTGTTTCTCAGACTAGACTCACAGGGACGTTTCTCAGTGGCCTGTAGAGTGAAAACAAGGAAAATATAACAATTGTAAATGGTGGAAAAGTAAAACCAAAATTTCATAGTAATAAGAAGAAAATAAAGATTATTCTATTTTCAGCTCTTGTTGTAACGCCCCCATCTTCTCTAAGTTTTGGAAAACCAAAAATCTTCCTCTCCAAAGCCAGGTATAAAAGAGAGAGTGAAATACCTCCCTTACCCTTTGTGCTAGCCATACATGGCCTCTGCTAGCTCCTTCTGCAGCGCCTGAAGTTTCAGCTTCTTGGCATGGTCTTCAAAATAGTATGTAAAGCAGCCTCTCCCCACTACCTGCCTGCCACTGTCTCTTTTCACCTTATCTACCTCCCATTTCATTAGTGATGTTTGCCTGGTCCACCAATTCATCAGCTGCTCATGGCTATTGTCAGGTAACTTTTTTTTCTTGTTCTCTTTTCTGTCTAGGTGAGTGAGATCTATTATCCACAAATGTGTTCCTTATTCTGTTTAGAAAGTACCCGGTGCATTATGGGAATTATCAAAAGAAATGATCTGTGGTGCTTTCTGTTAGATGTGGCGTAATTATTTATGACTATTGCTTACTATTAAAAAAGAGGAAAGAAGTCAGGCACAGGCCTCTCAGCAGTTCTGAGGAAGTCCTTCCATTTTACTATCTTCTGACAGTTTTTAGTGTTTTTAAAAAATTAGTGTGTTCTCCAAAGTTTGAGTTCTGAGTACTGTATATCCAGAATAGAATTGGAGGAAAAGGGATTTATTTTTCTTCATGGGTAGGATTAGATATGTTTCAGCCACTGATTTGAAACTGTATAAAGCACCTTTTCTGATGCTGGGGAGTTGTTTATTGGTTGTTTGTTTTATTTTTTGCGGGGGGAGGGGGGCGCTGTTTTTTCATTTGAGACAATGTAAAAATCAAACTTCTTTTTACTTAATCATGTTACATTGGGCTCATTAAAGAGAGAATTGAATACTGTATTGAACATATATTATGAGTAGTTTCTTTTGCTGGATTTCCCTGGTCACTTTTAAAAAAGTGTTCACGCGTGTTTGGGTAAAATTCTTCTGGAACACTCTTTGAAAATGATTATATCAGGTAAAGCTTGAATGTTTTTCACTTTTTCCTTATAGGCAAAATTCTGAGGGAGTGCTTCAGAAACAATGGAATAGTATATCCTCTCTTCTCTTATTTGTGTTTACTTTTTATATTTTTAATATATTTATATTTTCCATAATTTTATTAAATATCACCTATTTGCCCATTCATGGAAGTAAAGAGTGTCAGTAAAGTAGCAAGAGCCCTAGGAAAGCAGCTAGCTTTAGCAGCCTGTTAGAACCTGCCTGTTGTTGGGTACTTTTGCAATGCCCTTTTCCTTTCATTTTTGCCGCCTCCTTGATTAGTCTTTTAAATCAGAATTTTTTATGTCTTTTTATTGGACCAACTGAATGGTTAGGAGAGTTTTTAGACATTCTTTTGGGCACCAAGTATCCTTCCTTAGGTCTGGGCAAGAAGCAGAGACACCTCCAGTTCATTTAGTTCAAGTTATTTCCTTGCCCAGAAACTTGTCTAACAACTCTCCCAACTGTTCAGTTGGTCCAATAAAAGATATTACCAAATTAACCCTTGTTTCTTGTATATTTTCTAGACCATCACAGCTACAACAACACGCCAACCCTTCTAATTAGACATTTGTATGCACATAGATCATGGTTCTAAGTAGATTAAATAAACATGTATGCACTGTATTTGCCATATGTATCTTTAGGTTGGAACTAGTAATTATATTGTGCAGAGGATCCTGTTAAGCTTTGTAAGTGAGAATTCGGATAGTGAAAAAAGCAGACTTTGCAGGCTCCTTAGCTCTGAGAGACTAGTGAATAACACACATGCCTTGACTTTTGTGGCTGGATTTACACTGTATGATATTATTGGTATATCTGAATTTTTCCCCTCTTGCTGTCACTGTGTGTGACAGGTGCCAGTATGTTTCTTCTTTGAGAAAGCAAGCTGAGAAATAGATCCCTGTTTACTTTAGAGCATTGGTGTAACCAAGAGATGTTTTCTACTGAGGTAAATAGTCTTTTGCCTGTAAAATATCTTATGGATGTCATTGTTTCACTTATTTGAAATACAGGTACAGTTTGATATCATACTTTGCAGCACTGCTGCTGCTTTTGGTGAAATATTACAGATTATTACACATCTTCAGGAGTATTTACTATTGACAAATAAGATAGCTGCACAATTAATGACTCACATGCCAGTTTCTGTTCCCTTAGTACAGTGGTTCCCAACCTTTTTTGTACCAGGACCCATTTGTAAGTATCAGTAGCCAGTTCTGACTCAGTGCCCCTCACTCCTGGCCCACTGCCCCCAGCCCCCCAGTGTGTGAGGCAGGGGGAGCCCCCAGCAGCCTCTTGCAGGCTGGAACTCTGCCAGTCTGCAAAGGAAAAGCCACAGTTTCCCACATTTTTTTTCTTTAAAGGAAAATCCATTGTTAAAGTTTGTTCATGAGTCTTTCATATATTCGTGCAACCCACAGGTTGACTGATGCTGCCTTAGTGTACTGCAGTCATTTGCAACTTAGTAAGCAAGTTATGACCTAACTTAAAATATAGCCAAGTGCATACAATGTGTTACTGGAAAGTAATGTTACTATCTGTAGAGCTATGATTGTTTATCCATGTAAGGACATTCTTTGCATGCTGTCTTGCCAGCCTGCTTTAAGGCTGGTCTGGAAGAACCCCCCCTGCAGATGTTGGGATTGGTTTAGTCTTCAATACTCTTCCTTCTTGAGCATCCTGTTGACAAAGGTGTCAGTTGAGTGGGAAAGGTATCTGTTTCTTAATATTTGAGTTAAACAATTTGCCCACTTTTTAAGAATAAGTTTATCATAGAATCATAGAAAATCAGTGTTGGAAGGGACCTCAGGAGGTCATCTAGTCCAACCCCCTGCTCAAAGCAAGACCATCCCTAATTAAATCATCCCAGCCAAAGCTTTGTCAAGCCAGGCCTTAAAAACCTCCAAGGATGGAGATTCTGCCACCTCTCTGGGTAACCTGCCCCAGTGTTTCACCACTCTCCTAGTGAGAATGTTTCCTAATATCCAACCTAAACTTTCCTTGCTGCAACTTGAGACCATTGCTCCTTGTTTTGTCATCTGCTACCACAGAGAACAGTCTAGCTGCATCCTAGCTCTATCCTTCAGGTAGCTGAAGGTTGCTATTAAATCCCACTGTCTTCTCTTTTCTAGACTAAATAAACCCAGCTCCCTCAGCCTCTTCTCATAAGTTTCTCCTTTTCCTTGTGCCAGTAATAAAATAACAAGTGGAGGGACTTATCTCTCTGCACATCTGTTATCCTCTTCCTGGATTCAAGTAAAAATGCTTATTTGTAGAACACTCAGCACAAGGGGATCTTTAGCCATTATGTGGGCTCCCAGGCAGCGGAGCTGTACAGGAATGCTAGTTTTGATGCGCACATTTGATTTTGTAGAAATTTCATTTCCTGATCAAAGAAAACATTAAAACCTAGGAACAGAAGAACTTTTAGAAGTCAGGAAAACAATGTAATATCAAGGAGAAAGAACAGGATTCTAATGAATTCTAATTGTGGCATGTACACAGAGAGTTTTTCTGGCTTTAGGCAGGTTGCATACATTCTGACTCAGCTGCCTTGTGTTTAAAATAGTTATTGTGCCTACCCCATCAGAGTATTTGAAGAATTAACTCAAGTTTATAAAGTGCTTTGGATATAATAG